GCTTGTGTGTCGTATAACTCGGGTGTTTCAACTAGAATAAATCCGACATTTCGTAATTTTATTTCAGATTTTATCCTTTTGTAACAATCCTCTAATTATTTGATATGTTCGTCTAAGACTTTGTGACGCGTTATTTGTAGTCTTGGTCCATTGATGATGGTCATATATATTCAATAAGTAGTCGATCAGACATGTCATAAGGACGATATTTAATTACTGCTCTATTATGTTTTATAAAATGCCATGTTAAGAATCCTTTGAACTGAGACTAAACCTGAGCAAGATCAAACTGAAGATGGTCTTATTTTACTTCATGAAAAACGACACATCGATGAAACCACTCATTAGGAGACAGTCTCAGGAGGTACGTACAAAAAGACGATAGAAACTACTCCTATGTTATATGTCCAATGGTAATGAAGAATACTCTTAACTCCTTATGACAAATTTGAAACATAATGTCGGATGATTTATGTAACTTCATGAAAATGCACATAAAATACGTCTTAGGGAGACAGGTTTCCAGGGACGACTCTTGTTTTAGTCGCGTGAAGACGATTCAAACTACTCCCTTACATAAAAACAATCAACATCAATCAAAAACAATCAAGTCCATAATCACTTTGATGGGGGTGTGCATCGGATGATACTTCATGAAATCCGGATGCACATGAAGTCATGAGGAGACAGTACAGGGGGAAGGACTCTGTTCCGTCACGTAGCAAATAAGAAATATCTCGCAATTCTGTGGCAAAGAACGAACTCTGACTATAACGACTCATAAATTTTTTATCTTATTTTCTGTTTTTTCGCCGAGGTTTTTTCCGTATACTTGGTAGACCGCCAATTAGTCAAATAATAGTGGTCGTGTGTCTTAAGTTCAAATATCATGTTAAGACCCGGTATACTAACACGATAAAAGGTTTGTCTGTAGTATTTTACTGGACAAAACTGTTAGGAATTTCCACTGTTCCTTTTTCGTGAAATGGAACATTAATATGAATTTCTGTCCTGATATACGTGACAATTCTCTTCGTCTTTTTTCCTTCTTGGCAATATTACCCTCACTCATATGTTAAAAA